CCTGCCTGTGAATGGCTTTCCAATGGTTCTAATCAATGTGACTCAACAAACAGATGGTACACCACTTATGGTCTGAGAGATCTTCATAACCTTCCTTTGGCTTCATCTGCTAGTGGAGCTCTGGGTTTAAGAGCCACAGGAATGCTGGTTTTCTATCCTAATGATATTACCTGCTGTTAATTTAGTTCACTTGGAACTACAGGTGTAAATCAGCTTCTGATTAGATACTATAATGAAAACCAGCGGGTTTCTGGGTCCCAAGGTCCAAGATGGCCATCCTCTGGCGAAGAGCTGTGTGGATGAGGGTAAGAAATTAAGACACATAAGGTATAAAGAGAGAAAGAGATGACAGATGGTGAATTCCTCATGGTGTTCTTTTAATCTTACAAATACCGAACCGTAAAAACTTTTTTTTTTTAAATTAGAAATTAGGAAGGCTTCATTTTAAGATAAATACTTTATCTGTTTCTTTATTTTATAAAACCCCAAACTGGCCTAAGTTTTATCTCTACACCAAACTCCTAATTTCCTGCACTGCCCCCCTGGGAAGACCTACTCTTGATAACTCCCAGCTCCCTTTATACATGTCACACCACACTTAAACCTTCAGTGAGAAATTCAATCGTTAGAAATGTTTTGCACTACCTATATCGTATATAAGGCCATAACTCGGAGACACCCATGAAGGAACTTTCATTTTGTGTTGGTTCTGGTGGCCCTTGTTTCCACTGCCTCATTCCAATTCCCCAAAGGACTGCAACAGATGTTAAAAACATTGACTTGTTCCTTCAAGTCTGTAGTTTAGCAAAATCATTCACTATCAACATTATTTTATGGTGATAGAGTTGACCTGTCGACCTCATGAATATCTGGCCTTAAAAATGGTTGTTAACTTCAAATTTAACTCTGGAGACAGATTCAGCGATGCTGGTTGTTCCTCTTTAATTAAATCCCTCTTTCAATTAAGAGATGTAAAAATAATAATGAGAGAAAGGGGAAAGGAGGAGAGAGACGAGGAGGAAGATGATTTAGGCACAGATCTAGACAGGGAAATAACAAAGAAGTTTTTTGCTCTGTACTTTGTACTGCATGTTTTTTGTATCTATTTATGCTTCAAATACAAATTATCTTAATGCTTCTAAAATTGAATCAGAAGCAGATCAAGCAAGGCAGGGAGACAGATGAAGCTAGAGAAGGGTGGGAAGGTAATATTAAATATGGTTAGGTGGTCTGATCAGACATTGACACAACAAAGGATTTCATATTGATTTTAGCTTAATTTCTGTATTAGTCATCTGTTAATGTCTTTCTGAATTTCAATATATAATCTTGTGTAACGCTTGGTTTACATAGGTCCTTGTCCTGCCACAGTACAGTAGGACATAACGAAATGATATCCAGTGCACATCGAGACACTGACAGTTACTGTTAAAGACAGATCTACACACACACACACACACACACCCACACCCACACACATACCCCTTATGAAGGTTAAAATTATATGAACCAGTTTATTATTTCCTTATTTCAGCCAGTTGTGTACTTAAGCGGTACCTTTCATTCACATTCACTCTGGAGGAAAGTGGATTGAGTCAAATTGAATTGACAGAAAGAGGCAGAGAGAGAGAGAGACAGAGAGAGAGAGAGAGAGAGACAGGGGAGGAAAAGGCATTGTCAGAGAAAAACTAAATGGCATGAAGGGGAGACATTTGGAGAGAGAGTAATTTGGCGAGAAACAGAAATGTGAAGAGAAAAGTGATAAAAGCTGAGCAGGAAAAATGCTTCATGGAAGAGAGATGAGTGAGAGACACTGAGAAGCATATGAGAGAGAGAGAGAGAGATGATGGCAGTGGTATACGTGGAGTGAAAGTTGTTCTGTCAGATATGATCAAAAGAGTCTTTATGTGAAGGGTTTGAAGGGAGAGTCATGCAGCAAGACACAGCATTCCTCACAGCAAAGGGAGAAAGCAAAATGGAGGAAACAGGAAAAATCAGTAAAGCACAATTTAAAGAGGCTCGCTCGGTCTGCCTCTCTCATTTTTACCCTATAATCTCCTCACCACTCTCTTTTTTTCTATGTCTCCTTTTTACTCTCTCTCGTTCTCTCTTCCTCAGCTTCCTCCATCTCAGTCTCAGAAGATTTTGTTTGTTTTTTTCTATCCGTAGCCAACCAACCTGCATACTCTGCTTCCCTCTGCGCTGCTCTACGAGGGGAGGAAAATTAATTCCAACTCCCATTAGAAAAACAAGCTTTTGGATGGTAATCGAGATAAATCCGGGCTGGGGCGACGCTATCAGTGGAGAATCTTGATTGTTCACTGAACACTTAGGAGCCAGGGAAGTGTTTGAAAATAGAGATGAGGCGCTCCCAAACTTCTTATCTTGTTTCTGTGTGAAAAGTGGAAGGAAGCATCCACCTGTGACGATAGTTGGGGATTACAGGGACAGAATCCTAATGGGACAAATTACACAGACAAGTGATAAGAAGGCATACTGATACTGGAGTGCTCCAAGTCATGTTGAATTCATGAAAAAAAGAGTCCCAGGGCAAAGTTTTGATCACAGTTTGTTTTGTTGGGTCCAAACCAGAAAGGGGAAGTTCATTCTTGTTGTTGTTTTGTGTGTTGTGTTTGTTCCTGATTCCCATTGCAAGTGGCAGGACTCTCATCAGCATTCAGTACACTAAGAAATACATATTTTACACAGAATCCTCAAGCTGAACAGAGTTTACTTAATTAGCTGTTTTTGCATTCCTTGCTTGTCAAAAAGACAGTCCATATGTCCTTTATAAACAACCATGACAACTTGGTGGGTAAATTGTAAATGGTGAAATGGTTGTTGATCTATTAACCTCAGAAACAGTGCTTATATGGGTCTAGTTTTGTACTGAACTAAATGAAAAAAGTTTAAACAAGCAGCACTAGCTGGTCTACAACTGAAGAACTAAAGACAGAAGTCAAAGAAGTGCAGCAATACATACGTTGTCTGTGACTATAAATATTGGATTATAACTGCACAAAAATTATTCTAAAATCAATTTCCACTTCTAGTACCATCGAGGGTGGAGTTCTCAAAGCAAAATCGCTAGCTGAAGAACAACCAATGGGTATTGCGGATAAGCTGCCATTTTTTGAGGATGAGTTGCCTTTTGGAGAACTTGTCTAAGACACAGGTAAATATCACACAGGCAGCATAATAACAAACTGTTGTCTTTACAGTAAGGATTTACACATTTCATTTCATTTATTAGGATTCTGATAGTTGAAGAAGCAACTATTCTCTCTGGGGTCAAAAAAACAAAAACAAAAAAATCAAAAGCAATAAAAAACAAACAAACAAAAAAAAATGCAATCAACATGACTATAATTGCCGCCAAACATCTTAATCCTTCATTTGGAAGCTTTGGCAAAGACAGTATATTACATTTTCTATTTGGATTACAAATATAGTCATCAAAATTCTGCTCAGATAACAGCTATGTCTAAAATTATTCCTCAACCAAATTTAACAGGGTTTAGATCTAGACATCTTAGTAAATGCTTACTTGGATGTAACAGGTACGCTCCATTACATGTGGCATGCTTATTTTTGTTGCCACTCAAGCCTTCTATTCAAGTTGGCGCAAACATGTGTAGAATTTAGACTGATTGAGTGAAAACTCTGCCCACAGTCTCAGCACTGTGCCGCTCTGGTTTTGTGGAACCATTAACACAAGGTTTGTAAATAAAGGTCACATGGACTCACAAACCACTCATTTATAAGACAGAGGTTTGTTATACTGTCATCCTGCCTGCTTTGACATTTTCACAGTGAGGAGAAGTCAAACTCAATCTGATTCCATTTCTTGTAACTCAAGTTAAGCATGATTGAGTTGCAAGCACAGTTCCTCAGGTTGTTTAAACCTGCTAAGAAGACAGGAGGAAATAGATGGAAATCAGCAGCAGTCCAGATTTTAGATTACCCTCAGTTGACTTTGCTGTTTTAGACTTTCTCAGCATGAAAAATCGCTTGCTATCTGATGTCAGCATTAATTTCCTTTTATCGGAAAAATCACTGTGCTTTATTTGATAAGAATCATGAACAGATCCTGTAGTGCTGTTTTAAGACGTTGTCCTCATCCACCCACATGAACAGTACTAAAGAGATAAAAGGTACAACAATTTGACTAAACCTCAAACATTTTCTCATTTTTAAGGGGGCCCTGAAGTCTCTCGTGCACAGAAAGTTGAACATGTTTAATCAATATAAAAACACTTTCCTGTTAACTAAATTTTTGCCCATATATGTATGAGCTGCAGTGCAACCACCGCTTTCTACCATTTGCTAATGAGCAGGCCCACTGGAGCTGAGGAAAGGGAAGACAGATTGATATTCCTTTCTGTACTGCGCTAAAGTTTGCCAGCTGGTATTCAACCTGTGGGCAGTTGGGCAGTTGCCCAAAGTACAGTAATAAAGATGTTCAATTTAACAACTTGTACTTCCTTGTCATTGTTATTCCAAATAAACTGCTACTGTTGCTTGCATAAGCATTAAATAAGTATGAATATCAATATTGACTTTTAAGTCATTGATATGGTGGAAAATCTGATATTGAATGCACATTCTTCGGAGTGGTAATTCCATTTAAGTAATTGGGTTGTTTTGTAAACAAAGTTGGACCATGACTGATGGGAGTTTTAGTCTTAAACCCATTTTTCTGGCCAACCTTTTCAGCTGCCTCCTCAGATAACCCCAACAGAGGATGGCTGACATTCAACCATCCATCTTCCCTTTGCAGCCCTCCTCTCTCCCAATCTATAAAGAAGGCAGAAAATGTACATCATTGCGCAGTATGTGAACATAAAGTCTAAAAGTTCTAAGTTTTGTGATGAATGAGCAGGCAACTCTTTTGTTGACAATGCCCCAGTATTTATGTCCAAACTCAACCCATTTATTCCTGCCGGTAATCCAGTTCAAATCACATCTCACCAACTATTATTTTCTCTTTTTTGCTGTAGGTGCTCATTACTTACTTTGATGGTGGTCAGACCAGGTGCTACCAAATGCTGTCATACCCAGAGAATTGCGTGCACACAGGTAAGCTAACATTCCTTGTGTTTTAGAGACAAAATAAAGGGGAAAAAACGAATAGAAAGAGATATCTAGTCTTTACATCAAATTGAGCAGTTAGGTGGCTCAAACAGGAATGTTCACAATCTAAGCAGTGATTTAAAATGAATATCTTAAGGTAATTTTTGCTTGGTAATTTGGAAAACACTCCCTGAATTTCATCAATGGAACCTTGGCCTGCTGCCTGGGTCTAAATTACACCACTAATTGTGAGAGTTCCTGCTGAATTCAGTTTAGCCAAAGAGGAAATGATTATCAAAGAGGTATTAGGTCAACATTGACATCTTTTGGCAGCAAATAATGCAACCACAGCAACTTTTTTTTTTTTTTTTTTTGTCAGTGGTCAGTTTGATGAAGACATTGGCCTGTAATTGACAAAACAATACTGTCAAGTTTTTTCATCAAGACAAGTAAGCTAGCTGATAGGCCTGGGCTGAGTCCATCATATGCAGGGTCTGATCCATACATGGAAGCCATGCCAAGCCAGAGTCGTGATCGTGGTTGGCACTGGGGAAGCTCAAACATGCCAAATGTTGGATGTCACACAGCATTACATTTAGAAGCCATGTTGGAAGAAAATCAAAGTCACAGGAAAAACAATAAGCAACTCCTAATAAGCAGAGACTTCTCCTTCCGTGGAAGCATACAATGGTGTTTGAAAGTCAAATATTTCACCAGCTGGCAAGGTAATCACTGATTCCTGGAATTAATCAACAAACTTATCAAACTCCCACAGATACGGTATGTGCTGTGTGCTGTGGGGGAGTAACAAGCTTGCTAATATCCAGTGGTTTAAAGTGGGATTTGGGCAGTGAGGTGTATAATTATCCAAAGCAAATTTGGTGATACACAGGGAATCATCAGCTTTTAGTCTATACTGATGAAGGCCCCTTAACAACAGCCTGCCATGTACATAATCAGACAAGATCAACATGGCCTGCTCAGTTGCGCACTATTCTCACAAACTTTTCAATGAAATAAGAGGTGTGCTATATGAGATGAATCAGTGTGATACAATAATGATTCCCATTCACTTAACAGCCAAAGCCTATATAGATCTGTAGATGTCATAGTGCAAACATTTCAGTTGAAAGTGCATTTAAACTACTGAATAATAACCATGAGCTGGCCGCTGTCTGCCAACATTAGTAGGTTTGGGCTCAGGTGCAGCTGAATCAGATGACCAGTTATGTGCCAGTTACAACACAATTATCCTCTCTGATGTGCTGATATTGTAAACATGCATTTATAGGATCATCAGTTAAGTAGCTCATAATGCACAAGTTGATTTTTACAGTTTCACATAATAAACAGTTGGTGCTTTTGGTGGTATTTGTTTATCGCTGTTTAAAACATTGTGTTAGGAATACTGTAAATTGAGGCTGTTAATGTGCTTTCCATAGTCAAACCATATCAGTTATTTACAGTCAACAGTCATCTGTAACAGTAATATCTGAACCTAGAAACCCTGGTGGGCTTCCTGATTGCCGAACATATGGACAGGTGTAAGAAAGGCCACTTGTGCTGCTTTAATTATAACACGCCATGGTGTATACATGGCTCAATGATCTAAATGTAGTTAATTTTTTATTATGCTGCAAACAGCAGTGCAGCAGCTTCTGTCCTTCAGTCAATGTCTACACAGGATCCCCCACATGTTGGCAGCATCAAATACACAAACACTCAACTCTAACATGTGAAACAGAAGACTTCAAATGTAAAAATACACTTCAGGTTGTAACTACCTGCATGAAGCTCAAGTGAGAGGCAAACTGTTACACAGCTGTTGTAGACAGCTGTACTGATTGAAATAGAAGCGTATTCACACTTGACAAGAGGCTAAAAACACACCTTCTGTTTAGACAAGGCTTAAAACTTCTAGTCACTGCTTAATTCTCCTGTGAACAATGAATACGGTTTTTGGTTTGGTTTAACAGAGGTGTTCCTTGGTCTCCTACTTTGGAGAATTTCCCCACTATGTTGCTCATCCATCCGTTCTCTCCTTTAGCCAATTTACAGCTTTCCTTACCCCTTTATTCTTCTCTATTCCATTCTCTCAGTCCACCCTCCATCGCTGCCATGCTCTCTGCACTCCATCCCTTTTCCCATTTTTTTAATCTCCTATGAATTTTTGGCCTCCCTAAGACAATCACTCTGTCTCTCCCACACACTCTCTTAACTGTCCTCTCCTGTTTGCTAACTTCTTTTGTCTCACAGACTCTTTCTCTTGTTCTTTCTTTTGTAGTTTTGCCTTTCCTTTCTCTTCCCCGTTCTGTGTCTCTTGCCCTCTCCATCCATCACATTTGAAGTGCAAATGTATCCAACAGGGATCCTTGGCTAATGCAGTGGTAGGGGTTGCCTCAATCACAGCTACAGAGACAAAAAGAGATGGAAAAGAGAAAAAACAATGGAGCAATAGTTGGGTAAGAGGAAAGAGCACAAACCGGTTTGAGTTTGATGACAAAGCAGAGGGAAACGCTGGAAGATTGGAAGATGTTTATCTGTGTGTTGGGTGTGTAGAGATGTGTTTTAAAGAGAAAATAAATGGAACAACAAAGTAATACAAAGAGAAGTCTAATTTTTTACATCAAAGGAGAGATGTTGTTAACAGAAAATGGCTTCTGAAGCCATTTTCTAGCTTATTTTAAAATATGTCATGCCAGTTTATTGTAGGGATGTCATCAATATCTTATACCAAGATCCAATTTTTCTTCATAATAGAGCACCACAGTGCACACTCAAGATTACTAAAGAAATTGAGGTAAATTTGACAGATTAAAAACCCTGCATGAAGAAAATGCAGTTTATATCACAACTTTGTATGTAGCCGTTTCCTTTGACAGTAAGAAAGGATGCCATCACTGAGGGTTACAATGAGTTACATCTTCCACAAGAAAGCTGTTAGAAATGAGATGTTGTGAAATTCCTGGATCTGGATCCCCAACAAAATCTGTTGTTTGTTGGCATGAAGAAAATGAGGGGAGCCTTTGAAAAGTGAGGAAATTTAATCTGCTCAATATGTGCATAAATACAGGAAGACTTGGACTGGCAGCAGGATGGCAGTGCGTTTCAAGCTTGGCGCTCTTCCTTGGGCAGCCTCTAGTTTATGCTCACGTCTCCAAAAAAAGGTAAAAAAACGGAGAGTGAAATAATAAAAACGTTAAGACATAACTACTGAACACATTATTGGTAAATTGAGTTGAACCTTTCACACTCTTACATAATGATACCATTATTTGTAAGTATTGACAACCAATAATATAGATAGCCCAGAAAAGTAAAAAAAAAAAAAAGGATTAAATAAGTATTAAAAAAACAATTTGGAAGCCAGTCATGTTCCAGCTTGCAAATTTTGAAATTAACTTTGTGCCTTTTAATAATATTCTGGATTTTTCAATGAGGGAGGATGAGTACATGTATTTTGTTCTTTAATTTTTAATATGTCATTATTATTCAAAGCAGATTATCGGTATATGACTTTAAAGACAGTGAAAGGGTGCAGAGGGTGTGCCACTCAATAGCATAAACTGTTTAACAAATTGCATTCAATTTTGTTTTTGAGTTATTTCGTTAACAAACAGAGAAGAGAGAGACCAAACGGACCAAAAAGAGAATCAGGAGGTTATAGGTGGTTTTGGGAAAAAAACAGACATGAAATGAAACGGAGAAGAAATGGTTACCACTGCATTCAGCACATATGAAAGAAGTGCCAGGCTCACACCCAAATCCTTTTCTTTCTGTGGTCAGTGGTGGATCAGTGTGGCACAGTTTTCTCAGAGAGTCAGGGATGGATGCGCTCAGTGGAGGAAGGGAAGGCAGGAAAGATAACTGGCCAAGTATCTGATGTGTAGCTTGGGGAATCAAAGCAAACGAGGTGAGGGAGAGAGGAAATGTGATGGGGACTGACTCTTTCCAAATGTACAGGGAAATGGAAAAAGGGATTGAGAGAGATGGGAAAGACTAAAGAGAGGGTGAGGGGAGGGAAGAGATGGGCAATCAAAAAGCTGACAGACCAATAATGAATCAAGTCCTCATGGAAAGACTGGGCTGAGGGAGAAAAGACAGGTGCTGGGTAGATGTTAAACATTTTCAAAAAAGGAAGTACGACAGGTTCAAATTAAACAAAGATGAAATTAGCCTAATAAATCTGCATTTTATTTGAACTTAGAGTAATACTTTACAAGCTGGTTTAAACTCTAACAGTGGGCCATGTTAAACTTGAAAGTATGTTGTCCTAGCATATAGATACTGAAATGCACTGTTTAGCAGTGCATCACAGCAGACCCTGCAAACCAATAAAGAAAGAACAGAGTTTGTCGCCAAAATTCATTTTCATGAAGAGAATTCCAGGCAAATAAAGTAGCTGTGAAGATTTATAGCTGAAATACATTTTTACAATGCAGCTTTTACTTTGTTTTATTAATTATATATCGCCCAATAAAAAGCCAAGTTTTACAAAATGTCTTTTACCACAAAATGGTTTTAGCCAGTTTTAACACTGAAGCATGAAGCATTTGCTTCCAATTAGTTAATTTGCTCTTGAAGACTATGAAAACCTATTAAAATGGAATTCTCATCAGCTAATACAGTCGCTTTAATTGTGTAACTGCCCATTCGAGAGAAACGAAGCAGAAGTCATAAGTTCAACTCCTGCAGCAGACAACAGTTTGTCCCTGCAGAAGTGCCTTTTGAAATGATCAAATTCCTAATAACACTTAATGTATTATACTAACTGAAAAACTGTACACTTGCAGTTCTATGTTGAGCACACTGGGATAAGATTGGTTTACCAGCAGCTATTACCTGGTGACAAAAAGACTGAGGTTTAACATGGCAGCTAGAGAGGGAGCAAAAAAAGAAAAAGGAGTGAGGGAAGACAGCGAGGGGGTGGATTGTCTGTCCTGTCCTCCCTCTCATCGTTGGGGAAAATTTATACAGTCTATAGTGTGAACCACATGGAGGAGAAA